TATATTATTAATTTCTTAAATATTTTATTGAATTAATATATTAATTTTTCTATTATTTATATTTTCTATTTGAAAATTGTTTATTTATTATTAAATGATTTTCTTTGTTATATTTTTATTTGATTAATATTATAGATTATTATATTCTTTATTATTTATTTATATGTTTTCTTTTTATTATTTTTATTATTTCTTTTTTATTATATCATTCATATTTTGTATTTGATTAGTTGATTAGTTGATTATTTATTATTTATTATTTATTATTTATTATTTATTATTTATTATCATTTATATTCATATTATTATATTTTTTATGTATTTTATTTTTTATTTTAATCATAATTTATTATTTTATTTCTTTTATATTTATGTATTATTGTTAATTATTGTTATTATATTTCTTTTTTATTTCTTTTATTTATTATATTATATTTATTTTATTATATTTATTTGTTGTTTGTTTTATATTATTCTATATTCATTTATTATTTTTATTATTATTTATTTCCATTTTGTTGTAAATAAATTAGAAGATTATATTTTTATTGTTTATTTTATATGAAATATATTTATTGTTTATTATAATTATTCTATTTTATTCGGATTCTTATTTATTCAGTTTATTTGTGAAATTATTTATGTTAAATTATTATGATTTATTGTTTAATTCTTTCTTTGTTGTTTATATTCTTATTTTATTAATTGTTTATTATTATCATATTTATTCATATCATTATTCCGTTTTAATGTTTTCTTTTTTGTTTGATGAAAGAGAATGTTTAAAACAAATATGATAATTGAAATAAAAGAAGAACAAGATGAAATCAAAAAAGAGAATAATAAAAATATATCTTAATGAAATTATCATATTTTAAATTTATGAATCATTAATTTATCATGAAAATATACTTATTTATTGTGTTATATTTTATAGATTAATTATTATTATTGTTCATTTGAAAACAATAAATAATGAAATATTAATATTTCTTATTATTATTATTTTCATATTTATTGTGAAAATTTTATTGATTTTATTGATTTTATTATTTATAATTATAAAAACATAAATATTATGAATTAAAACTTTAAATTATTCTTAAATATTATTATATATTTTCATAAAATAAAATTATAGATACATTTCTTATTTTATTGTTTATTTTATTTATTAATTTTATTCTTATAT